TGTTTTCGGAATTGCTTTTCAAAAAACAGATGAAAATTTTGTTTGTGGAATCTCTTTGCCTTTATAGGTAACATACTAGCGTGCAGTGTACAAATACACTGCACCACATTTAATCCACTTTCAGTATGAAAATAATTAGGAAGAATTCTGTTATGCGCGATTTCACGCAGAGGTAGACCATGTGAACACTATAAAGAAACACTATGTCCAGTCCCAGATGTGACGAGTGATTATTTAGGACGTGAGGCCTACGTTGAGATGACAAACCCACAGTGTGAACTGAGCTGCATTAGGTCTTGGAGATGGAGATACGAATTTTCCCTAACAAAGACTCACTTCCCTAAAGATCAAAACCTGTTTGTATCACAGATGATGCATAAAAGTAATAACAAAGTATTGATACAGAGGGTTGGGACCCATCGTGTGAAGTGAGATTCATTACATCTTGGAGATGGAAATGGTGCTGTCGGCTGAGAGGAAAAGACAGAGACAGGGGCCACTCAGGAATGGAGGTCAGGCCAGAAAGTGTGAAAGCAGGAGACTAACAGCTGGGATAAGTGCAGCCCCTATGCTGTGCATTTCTGTGGTTTTCTTGGAAATAAAGGGAAATCACAAGGCAGCAGTAAATAAAAACAAAGGCTCATGGGGAAGTAAATCCCAAAGAAAATCTTTTGTAAATAGAAACTTGTTTATTCTTTACCCTGTGTGTATCTCAGGAGTGAGGGATTTAGTAAATATGAACTAAGAATTCTGTCTCACTCGGCTCTTCTGGAACTGACTGCTACAGTGGGTCCCGCTCTGGATGGCCCCCAACACCATCACCCTCCTTGGCGTCGCCGTCAACCTGCTCACCACGCTTGTGCTCATCTCCTACTGCCCCACGGCCACCGAGGAGGCACCGAACTGGACATACCTTCTTTGTGCCCTGGGACTCTTTATCTACCAATCGCTAGATGCCATCGATGGGAAACAAGCCCGAAGAACAAATTCTTGTTCTCCTTTAGGGGAACTCTTTGATCATGGATGTGACTCCCTTTCCACAGTGTTTATGGCCATCGGAGCGTCAGTTGCTGTCCGCTTGGGAACTCATCGTGACTGGCTCTTTTTCTGCTCATTTATTGGAATGTTCCTCTTTTACTGTGCTCACTGGCAGACTTACGTTTCAGGTGCGTTGAGGTTTGGAAAAGTGGATGTAACGTACAACAACGTGGGACTATAGCATGCCCGTTATAGAACTGAAATGGAAGATCTTTCCGGTTCTTGGAGTAGTGGGTGGAGCAATCTTTTCTTGTTCAAATTATTTCCACGTTATCCTCCATGGTGGTGTTGGCAAGAATGGATCTACTATAGCAAGCACTAGCGGCTTGTCACCTGGACTCCACTTAGGACTAATTATCATACTGGCAATAATGATCTGTAAAAAGTCTGCAACTAATGTTTTTGAAAAACATCCTTGTCTTTATACCCTAATGTTTGG